CAACAAATGAGAAAATTCTCACCCTTCTTTTGTGAAACAAGGCAGCGTCCAGCTTAAGAGGTGTAAGTAGTTCCCCACATAACATTGGGTAAGAGCAGGAACTTGAGCATTGTCCTGGTTACAGCTGGGGTAGAGTTACTTTTCTTACTAGCAGCGGGTATAGTGCTGTGGTTTGGATTTAGGATGAGAATAATGTTGATAACACACTCATGGTTTTAGTTGTTGCCAAGCAGTCAAGGACTTTTCAGCTTCTCGTACAGGCCTGCCAACGAGAAGGTAGGGGGTGCCCAAGAAGCTGGGAGGGGGCACAGCCAGGACAGCTGACCCAAACTGGCCACAGGGATATTCCATACCATATGACATCATGCTCTGTATATAACTGGGGATTGGCCAGGAGCTGGTGCGGCTCAGGAACTAGCAGACCATCGGCTTCAGGTGGTGAGAAATGGTGCTGTTCATCACTTGTTTTGCATATTCTTTTTTAAAACTATTATTATTATTATTATTATTGTTACTACTACTACTACTACTACTACTACTACTACTACTACTACTACTATCTTCCTTTTCTGTGTTATTAAACTGTCTTTATCTCAACCCACAAGTTTTACCTTTTTTTCTTTTTGATTCTCTCCCCCATCCCACTGAGGGGGGTAATGAGTGAATGGCTGCGTGGTTGTTAGCTGCCTGCTGGGTTAAACCACGACCACATTAGCTATAGAATGAGTAATACATAGCAAATCCATCCTTTACTTGACATTATGGTAATTTATGGGTGGCAATAAGCCACAAGCTAAAGGCACAGGCATGGGCGACAGTGCTGTAAGCAGAGCTGCAGCAGCATGGGGATGTTGGTTCTCAGCAGCAGTAGGAAAATATCATTGATATGCACTCACTCACAATGACATAGTTTTAAGATTCAACAGAAATTACCTGCAATTAAAATTTCTTTCTGCTTCACATTTCTCTGCACATTCTTTTTCATTATTTGTCTTGTAAAATTGTTTATTTCGAGTAAGTATCCAAACACCATCTGTTCTTAAGTAGTCATCCAGTATATCTCCTTTCACTACAAGGGAAGAAAAAGAATCAGACATTAAAAATGAGAATGTTGCAGTTAAGAAGACCTGTGACTTGGAGTCCCATTTTTCATGTTTTCACAGGTGAAAGCACCATTTATTTTGTGTAATTCTGTGTAAAACATGATAAACTCTGAGGAAATTTCTGTCTCCTGACACAATCCCAGCTGTATGACTGGAACATGTAATAGGAAAAAAGAGTGGGAGAGAGCTGTAGAGAAGCAGCTCTGGATGGAGTTATGTATGGGTTTGAAGCTGAGAACAAGAAATATGAAACAAGAGTAGGAGGGACTGGAGAGAGGGATTAAATAGTGTCAAACAAACACCAGTCCGAGAAAGGGAAGTGAGATCAATATTAAAGTTTTGGAGAAGCATGAATTGGGAGGATGTGAGATTATGACCTCCCATGTGGATGATGCAATCACTACAGTTTTACTGGTCACTGAATAGTTGTTTGTCCTAAGATGTCTTGCCCCAGAGCAAGAAACCTCAATCATGAGATGACTATATAGTCTTTTACATTGGACACCATTATTTTTGTTGTAATGGGTTGAGCAGACTTAATAATGAATTCATCAGGCTGCATCTCTGTTGCAGCAAATTAACCCAAGATTTTAAATTAGTAAATCAATTAGTATTATTATATCTGAAAGCTGCATGTGCATAAGCTGTATAGGATGCACCTGCTAATACATTTAATGCTTAGCTTCAAAATGTTGTTGCTCACAATGGAGTTTGCCATCTAACTGATTTTTCCTTTTATGTCTATAAAGATTCTATGTTTCTCTTCCTATTTCTACAAAAGTTTATTTCCATATCCAGCTCAGGTTACAAAGTTGCGGAAGTGACATGGTTTAATGATGTCACTTTTCAAGCTAGATTATTATTGCCAGACACAGGAAATTCATATTACGATCAGTTCACTGCAACATCACTCCAGTGTAATTAACAACCATGACATAGAGGTCATCCATCACCTACCTCCACATGACACATATTCATATAAAATAGAAGGTATTTGAACCACTAATGAAAATAAGATGATTAATTGCCTGAAGGCAATCTTCTGTAACTGTTTGCAGAGTTGACTCAATGCTATAAAATCTACATGTCTTAAGAGATCCCTGACAATGAGGCCTCCCAGATCTAATCCTACTGTTAGAGTAGGACTACGTGGAGCACCAACAGCCTACCAATTTCTCCTGATGCACTCAGCAAACAACTGTTTCCTCTCCTGACCCTTTTCCCAAGCTAACCGAGGCCACTGTTCCAGAATTGCAGGGGACCGCAATAGGAAAATATTACTTTCCAAACTTTATTGGCTCATCTTAAAACTATGTGTTTGTCCAAAGAGCTCTATTTTGGATACCATTCCTTTTCAGTGACCATAAAAAAGGTTTTATTTCAGATGGTTTAAGAATGAACACACTAGATTTTGTATGACGTGCATAAGATACAAGACAGTACAGATTGGCAGAAGCTTAGATAACAGAAAAAGTGACATTATTTGCCTGAAAAAACACTGCAAAGTGTAAACTTAAAAAAAGAATATAATATATTTAAAAATGCAGCAGGAAATGTATTATTCTGGCTAACATGCAAGTCTTTATAAACCCAGATATGACACATGATAATTGAACAGAATATTTAAACATATGTGAGCAAACCAATTTCTTCTTTTACATATGTATCTTTCCAGACTTGACCAGTACTAATGCAGAAGACATAAAAAATAGTTGTAAGGCATTTTCGTGGACCATAACTTTGGAGCAAGTGAGTTAGATCTGACAACAATGAGCAAATAAAAATCACTTTATCATCTCTTTTATAACCCAGCACAATCATACCATGACACGTCCCCATTATTGTGTCATATTAAATGTCTGAGCTATTAGAAAATCATATAAAGTGTACTGACACATTTTTAATGGTAATTTTAAAAAGTCATTTAAGGACTATACAATGATATGCAATGTTAAAGTACTAGACAATATGATATCTGATTGAAATCGGATTTAAATATATACTACACGTGGAATATTTATTTACCAAATTTGTAGGTGAGCTTGAAATTCATACATTACCTTTAGTGGAACACCTATCTTCTTCTGAAGTTGTACAAAATAATTCTGGACATATTCTTGGAAAAGTTGATCTAGGTTACTAAAGATTAGATTTCCAAATACTGCCCCCAGGAAAACAAGGGAGAATATTTTCTTGTGTTTGACACCAAAAAATGTGGAATTGCTGGAATATAAAGGAGCTTTTTCATTCTTAATTTTGTTTTAAATATTTCATTTAAGAACTTTAAAACTCCTATCATACAGGATGAAAATCAGGATCACTGTGCTTAGCAATGCTTGGCAGTAAAAACAGCTTTAGCACTTGGTCCAAAGCCTGCAGGAACCAGAGACAGCCATCTC